TACTAGTCTCAGTCATGCTTCATGCAAAGGATTATTTATGTACGATTCCATTTCAACAGCTGTGAACACTTCTTGCTTGTGTGCAATCAGCCATAATGTTTTCGCTTCCTTCATACAACCGATTTCCCAGAACAACCGCCGGATGACGGTCATTGCATTTGCGAAAGAGCATGACAATTACCGACCTTCATTATCAAACGCGTCCCGTGTCGCTGCCCAATACCGCGAAAAAGGGCCTGCGCCAGCCTCCACTGCCATGTCCGACTCGGGGAACACGTCCTCAACAGGGCCTTGTCATTGTAGATTCCTATACATTCTTGTCAAATTATATCACGTACGCAAACATCACTTACCATTGGGCCACTAACTGCCCGTTGCTCTCCGCGTATGCAACGAAAGGGTCATCGGGCGTGTCTGCAACAAACAGACCAACAGCGCCGGCCTTGTACGTGGCCGAGAAGAGCAGCTCCCCATATCAGATGGCCCTCTCGTGTCGACGCATATTCTCGTTAACGGTCTTTCAACATTCCATCATATTGGCACTTCCATCGTTGGCGGCGCACGATTCAGCCTTGACGTGAATGCCAAAATTCGTGTGCACGTTTAATATGCAGTATAAGTTTAAGAAAGAGGCAAAGCACTGCACTTAAATTGGGTGCTTTCCAGATCACAGCGGCTGCAAACGCATCCACGATTCGCCGCCATTCTGTAGTGCGAGCCATAATTCCAGAGTAACTATTAACTACTCACCAACCTATAGTGTTATTTATAATTGAATAGAAGCTGCGCCATAGTTAGGCAAAATCTTTTCATACCTTTACACTGCAGTTCTTTATGAAGTAGGAGACTCATCGCACTCGGTATGTTCCAAACTTCCTTTTCAGATCAATATTTGGGTGGTCTTTGGACTGATTGAGAAGGCGGCAAAGAGTGATTTCTTTGGTACGCGTAATCGTGCGCCAGGTAGCTAGGTAGCAGTGACCATGCCGCTTCGAGTACCCGATAGTTCGCGACTGATTGCTCTGAGCACGACCCAACTCAGTGTCGATTGTTTGCTCCAATTCGTTTCCATTTCCTGGTACCCACTAAACACTAATGAACTTTTAAAGCATTATAGTAAGTCATGAAGCAGTCATCAATATTTTTCAGTCCCTTAAAACACCAAATATTCAACGATCATATCACACGGCCATTCCTTTCTCTATGTCTACTTCCACGCCCGCAAATGGTGGTTTCTCCCTAATTTCCAGCCACAAGAAGTCCTACAACAAAGAATTGATATATGAAATTTTTTCTTCAACTCATATCTGAACTGGTTGTGCGTGACGACGGCGCATAAAATCGTGCTAAGGGATCTCTTCGCCTACTTTTTTAACGGTGGGTGGTAGCGTGTCTGCACTTGCTATTATCACTTTCACAACTTCCCTTTAAAAAACTTCCACCTCTTCTTTTATTCCTAGTTACTCTTGTTCCTCCTCTTCCTCTTCTTTCTCGTCATTTACAAGCTGCGGCAGCTGCTCCATTGCTGTTTTTCCTTCCTCAGAAAGGCATCCGCCTTCATACTGCTCCTCCTGCCCCTCAACACCCTCATTCGCTTCCATCATCAATGATAAGACTTGATGAAGTTCTCCCACTTTCATCAATTTTGGACAAAGGTTCGGCAAAATGCTTGTACA